TAGGATTTTGAGGCTAGGGTTTCTAGATTTGGCATCGGAGTTTGGATGCTGAATTGGACCGAACGGTCGACGGGGCTTAGGATATGGAACTGTGCGGCGGGGACTGACTGTGAATGCACCGGTGAGGGGCTGAGGACGTTGAATTAGATCGGAGATTTTGAGAATCTGGGTACTTTCTTCTTCCATTTTGCCAGTGTGAGTGAGTGAGAGGGCGGGAGCAGGGGATGCGAGGGAAATCAGAAGAGTTTGTTTCGAATGTCGCAAAAATATCAATTAGAATCATATTAATTGCACGAGCTATCCCAACTTTTGAAATAGTCACATATTGGTCCCCAACCTTAACATTTTTGCATTTTACTCCGTAAAATTGGAGTTGCACAGAATTACATCAACTTGCATTGTAATACCTTGAGTGCAATTCATTTGACAGTGAACCAAATCTACCGTACAAATACAAAGTGTATTCAAGTTAGTAGAATAAAAGACCAAAAAAAAAAAGTTAAAGATTGATATCGTTATGCTTAAAGAATGTCTAGGACTTGATTTAGCAATTGAAACAATTACATAGTGATAGTTTGGGAAAACTTAAAAAGTTGAGGTAAAGTCAACAATTAATTTAAACTACATATTTCATTGGACCCTCATCTTTTTATTTTTAACCAAAAATTTCATCAATTTTTATCAAAAAGTTATCAAACAACCTCATAATTAAGAACATATCCAGTGCATCAATATTGGTGGTGGTACATGAGACAAAGGAGATGGAGATAAAGAGGGAAGCATCTTTAATGGGCCGTGGATTGCACTATTTGTGAGCCACGTGTAAAGTGAGAGGACATTGAAAAAGAGTGAAGATAAGTTATAAAAAATTAAATAGCGAAGTCTAGCACACACTGTGGAGAATGTTATCCTCCACTTTTGCGAACTTTTTCACCATTTAAGCATTTTTGGTGGTGTTGAGCACTTTTTAATGCAATCCACAATTCCACTAGAGATGTTCTAACTTTGTTTACAAAGGATATATAATCTCAGAAATTGTATAGGGTTGATAAACATTTAAGGCGTAGATTGATTGAATTGGTGGGTTATCGCCCTTTGAATATTTCTACATTAGATGTAGATTAAAAGCAATTTTTTGATCTTAAAAACTCATTTTAACTTTTGAAAAATCATGTCAAACAGGACTAACATGCAAGATGCACCAAGTCGACTTCAGTAAATTAATAGAGATCACATTCAAGTACAACAACATAAGCTTAGTACAAAATACCGATTGATTGAAGTTATCAAACTCACTCAGAGGTAGCATTTATCTTGTATGAATATGCTATTTTGTACCATGAAAATATAAATGCAAGATGAAGGTCCATTTTTCTTACATTTCGCCTGTTAAAAACTCTTCAATACAATGCTTAATGAATAATTTTCAAACTACAACCCACCAACACATAAATCCGTTGTTATTGAATAGACACTTGGCTCTATTATTGGCAATAGAAGTCTAATCAAAACAGCTTTCTCTGGTCAACTTCAGCCCAAAATTCTAAAATTTCCTTTTAGAAGTCCGTTAAGACTGCCATAAGTTGAACATATGAAATATAAGAGACTTGTATGGACGGCTGAGGAACAAAGACACGTGACTAAATTTGTAAGCTTTCGTGTCTACTCCAACATATCGAAAATAACACAATCCAATATGACTTCAAATCATAACTGCAGTCTATGCAAGGCCACTGCTATTGTTTTTAAGTAAAAACTCTAACTTAGGTTCCAAGGAAAGCACTGCACAAGGATAGACCAACAAATAAGAACGGCATATGAAACTGCAAATCAAGACTAGTAATTTCCAGCAAAAAAATGTTCAAATGGTTCACTGCAGAAAGCAGGCAGAAACTTCAATATTTACATGATCAACCAAATTGTCTTACGAGTCTGTCGATCATATCTAAGATCAAAAAAATCCTTAACAGTAGATTTTCTTGTCAGCTATTCTGCGAGAGCTAGGAGGAAAAAAAAATCCACACGTGAGCCTACAGAGGTGAAAAGTCGCATGGGGTCTGTAGCAAAATTACACAGAATACAATCCCACTAATGCAGGAGCAACTTAATGAATAGAACTCGAAGCAAATTAAAAAATAAATGAAGTCGTATTTTCTTGGCTGTACAACGGACTTATAGTTATATTTTTATTTCCCTCCGTAGTCTTACACGAATGGGAGGTCCCGTCCATGAGTCCTCAACACGGCATAAGGACTGTTTATTCCAGTTCCTGAGAACAAACTATTTGGAACATTTGAAGGGCTAGTATTATATGAGCCACGACTGAGATCTGGTGAAGCTACCGTAGGAAGGACTTCAAGTGTAGAACGAGGTGAGTGCTGAAATTTTATCCCATGGCCTGATGACTCTGGATGAGATTGTGGACTTGTTTCACTGGAGCAGAAAATGTTTTTGGAACCAGACTTGAGAAATATTTTTTGGTAAGGCGCTAGCATGTACTATGAAAAATCAAAATAAAAGAGCAGGATTGGAGCACGAAAATGAGGACTTACGCATTTATTGGAACTTTTCCATGCTGGATCCTCGATGCTGAAGAATGTGGCATCACGTCCTTTTTCCCTTTATTCCGGTCACTTGGGCAGTGTTGAGCATCCTGAAAAATAAAATTATTCTTCTTATTTTCTCATTGAGCTTTAATGAGATACTATGGACCGAGAGCTAAATGAAGATGAATGTTAATCGAAATAAATGAAATTGTATGTGAATTAATTATTGTTAATGACAACGAATATATGCATGAATGTAAATTCATTAATGCCTAATGAATATAATTAAATGTCCAATTAAGTGGTTCAAAATTTTCAAACGGACAATGATGAAAATTAAATAGTGGAGAAAATCATTGATAATGTTTAAAAACGAAAATTAAGAATATTATTGAAATAGTTTATAGTATAGTAAGAGTAAATCGTTCAAAAAATGGTTCTCACTTCAACTAACACTTAATATGGTCATATAACCACTTCTTTTGCAGTCACCAGGGACAAAATGTGATTAGAGAACCAAAAGAAGGTAACTTAAGCATGAGTGCATGACTAACAGCTAGAGCCAATAGATTCTCACGAGTAATTTCATTCCAGAAAATTCTTGCACAAATCCTCCAACATTTTGATCTTGTGAACTTCGTAAGAAAGGGTGTTCAAGCAACTTAGTAGCTGAAGGTCGATCTGCAGGTCTTCTCTGAAAGCAACTTCTAAGGAAATCCTTCCCTTCATTAGACAATGTTTCTGGTATGGGTGGCGACTTGTTCAACACGTTGAACATGGCTTGCACCTAATGCCAAATGGAAAAAGGTTAATCAAATAGTCATAAACAACACTTTAATTGACATTTAAATGGACGGAAAATAAAACATTCCATTGTGTCTCCAACAATCAGTTTGTCATTACATCTAACTCTCATTTCGGGACTCATTCACTAGCGATTCTCTAGTAGACAAAGAAAACGGAAAAATGAACATCATACCATACTGCATGAAACATTAAAGTATTGTGCTTAAAGAAGGTACAGCAGGGGACAATTGATAAACTTCAGCAGAAATGCATCAGGAGTAGATGACGTTAACACACACACTCACCCCGTTAAACTCACTCCAAGGAGGTTTCCCGGTCAGCATCTCGACAACTGTACAACCCACGCTCCATATGTCAACGCCAAAGGCCAGCTTTGGATTAGCATCGTTCCGCATCACAGCCTGCAATACCTGCACAAATTAAAAGAATAATTACTTAAACAAATATAAGGAATTTAAGGCCAGTTAGTAGGTAAGCAGAGAACTCCGAC